GTTAGGGACTGGTGTAATTTAGTTAAAGTCTTTGATCCTTTAATATAACCAAGTTTTACCCTGAGAACATCGCTCTTTCTTTCAAAATTAGCCTAAAAAGAAAATTTGGACATTTTTATGATTTCATCCTTCAATGATCACCCGTACAAGCCATGTATGTGACTTTTCCGGGGCCTTATTGCCCAAATATAACAAAATGACTAATAAGTTACGTTTAAAGAGTTGACTAACATTTTTGTCTGAAAAAAACTTGAGTGACATTTTTAGTTAAAGAAAAAATTCAGTGATGAAAAGCGATAAAAGGTAATAGTTTGATGATATTTTGCTCGGTTTACTCTAGGGATAATTTCAGAAACCTCCCTTGAGATTTTTGATAATTTTACCTATTACTCTCGAGATTTTCAATATTACACTTACCTCACTAAAATGACCATAGTAACCTTAACATATCAATGTTTTTTCATGCAAATAAATATTCTGTTCCTAATCTTTTGCATGTGCATGAATTTCACACAATTGGGCATTAAACGCAAACACAAATAAGGTTCACTCACAAATTAACCAGTTATACCATAAACATAATTTTAAACATATTACAAGTTAATTTTAGTTTACTTGGAGGATTTAGAGATGAGTAAAAGAAGACATGGGTTTAGGGTTTAAGAAGGATAGGATTGGTGTTAGTACTCCAACATTGAAGGATAAAAGTGTTATATTAATACAGTTGGTGAATATTTTTGAATTTAATACTACTAATTTTTTTTTCTTTCATTTATATTGAGATTTTAGAATTTAGGGAATAATGGTGGTGGTAGTGGTCATGGAGATAGTGGTATTGATTTGGGATGTGGGAATATGGAAGGTTTAGAAAAGTAGAGGTAAGGGTTGGATGTGAGTTTGCAATGTTGTACATGTTTCAAAATTTTTTAAGAATTTTATGAAAAATTAAAATGTATTTCATAATTTTATGAGAATATTTTGGGTTATTCATTCAAAAATTTGATCACTGGATAGTTTTCGTTACCAAAATGGTAACATGAAGGGAGGTATGTGTAATTTTTGAAACCTCAAAGAACTGGACAAAATTATCAAAAACCTCAAGGGAGGTTTCCCAAATTATCCCTTTGCTTCTATATATTTTATTTGCGGGCCATGATGCAATGGCCTTTAATAATACTTAAGTTTTTGTTTGTTTCTGCAATTTCATAAGTTTACTACTATTGCAGCCTTGACAAATTTATAGCGACAGTCTTACATGGTAAGCTATATTGATGGCGAAAGGGCAGAACCGGTCCATCAGGTGCCTGGTGCCATCATTCTTAGTTCTTGAGAAATATTTTGTGCCGGAGTATCTCATAAAAATTCTATTTTTAATGTAGTATTTGAATTTTGGAATTAACGCAGGTTTAGTCCCTAATATTCGGCACGTATGTTAAACTGATTTCTAATGTTTCAACTAAAACAAATTTGGTTCCAAAAATTTCAAATATTATGCACATTTAGGACAATTGACATAAAATCAATGATGACTAACATTCAATGTCAAATTATTAATAGCTTTTTGATTTTACACTTTTATTCCTGATGTTTTAAATTTGAATCATTATATTCGCTTAGGTTTTTGATAGTGATATTGATGGTTTTAGAATGAAAAGACGTACAAATTGGATTGGAATTGTGTTGAAAAATGGGAGAAGTTAAAGTAAACTTCTTTATTTTCTTTTTTTTTATATAAATTTTATGTCATTTATTCATCCCATTAATTTCTCGTAGATTTCTTGTCTTTCACATAGCTAATCTTAGATTTGGTGTAATGAATGAATGTATTATTTTGCACTATGATGAATTAATTAATAATGAATTATACTATTTTTCATATGTAGTAACAATTAAACACTCAACTAAATATCCCTTAAAATATAAAGATCATGTATTATATGTAAGTTATATTGTTCGTTTTTCCTTTTCTAATTTCAATAGGTTATAAATTGAGTTTCCGATGAATTTGGCATTTCATAGAATTATTTGAATCATTCACCAACATTACCAAGGTAAATAAATAGTAACATAAATATCTTAAAGCTACACTATTGAACTCGGATTTAATAGGGAGGAAAAAAAAATAAAGAAATTTTTCCAAAAATTATGAAAAACACTTCATTTGATACTTAGGTTCACTGGTTTTGATAAGCACAATTATTAAATAAAACCATTTTCAGCTTTTGTGTACTAGTCATGCAAGAACTAGTGTAGCAATAATTAATACAATTGCATATTAAACTATAATTCTTTTTCTTTTTTTATACTAATTTTTGTTTTGTATATCAAGTGTGTATTGTTATGTCTATATAAACTTAAAATTGACTTTGTTTCTTTTCTTATTCTGAGTGTAAAGTCAAAGTTGTTGATCAATGGCAATTTGATTTTGACTATTAGTTATTATTGATTTCCGGTCAATTGTTCTAAATGTGTCTAAAATTCAAAATTTTAGAGACCAAATTTATTTTAATCAAAATATTAGGGATCATTTTGACACATAAGCCAAATATTGGAGACTAAAACTACATTTCTTCCTTCAAAGTTTTTGTTTTCTCTCTAAATGTTTTGCTCCGATATTAAGGAATCTAGCGCGACAATGCTTGTGTAAAGGATACACACCTTATAATTGGGAAGCGTAATGGGGTTGGACAACAATAGGTTAGGGCTGCAAACGAGCCGAGTCGAGTCGAGGTTTGAGCTAATCGAGCCGAGTCTCGATTAAATTTTACCAAGCTCGAGCTCGAACTCGAGCTCGACGAGCTGGCAATTTTCGAGCTCGAGTTCGACTCGAATCAAGTCGAGTCGAGCTCGAGCTCGAAAAAAATAAAAAAAAATTATTTTATTTTTAAAAAAATAAAAAAAATAATATTTTTTTCTGAATAAATAATAAAATATTAAGGATATATAGGTAATTTCACTATGAAAATAAAAAATTAAAATATATTTATATATAATATACGTAATTTTATTATTAAATAAAAATAAAAAATATATATAAATATATATACTCAAGCTCGCGAGCCGGCTCGCGAGCTAACGAGCTTAATATTCTGAGCTCGAGTTTGACTCGAGCTGGCTCGAGCTCGACTCGAGCTCGACTCGAGCCGCTCGCGAGCGGCTCGATTCGTTTGCAGCCCTACAATAGGTGGCCGATTAGACCAGATAGGATGCATGCGTGTTTTTTTTTCCCTTTTTTTCTATTGGAGCAAATTTTAATCATTGTTGATTTCTAGTCAATTGCCCTAAATATGCTTAAAATTAATAGTTTTGGAGACTAAATTTGTTTTGATCGAAATATTAGGGACTAATTTCACACATAAGCCACACTTTGAAGACCAAAATTGCATTTCTCCGGTGAAGTTTTGATTTCTTTCTAAATATTTTTGCTTCGATCTTAAGACATCTTGTGAATAAAATAGCACATGAATTAGCTTTTTATGCAAAAATTTTTAATCTTATGGAATCCCTATAGAAATTTCTACCCAAATTTGTTAAATAAATCGTATTGGACGAATTCTAACAATTTTTAGTTAATAAAAATTTTTCTTTTTATCAAAAAGAAAGAGACTTCTTGCCCAACATTGATTGCGTAAAGGACACGCACTTTTCAATTGGGAAGAGTGACCGGGTTGGACAACAATAGATGGCCGATTAGACCTGATAAGCATGCCTGCGTGTGATTGATTTATTTTTCTTTTTCTTTTTTTTTGGAGCAATCATGCTTGTGAGTTGTGATATATACAGTATTTTTTTTTTCAAATTTAGGCCTTGTTTGGATTGCTTGTTTCCGTCGGAAAATATTATCGTTTTCCGTCATCACATTTCCCTATCACCTTTTTCCCTCACATATATCAAATCACTACAGTAATTTTTTCATGAAAAATGACAGAAAATGCAATCCAAACACAACCTTAATTTTCGTCCTAAAGTTGCTCCACTTTGAGTTGTTATTTGCCTACGAAGAGAAGTTACAAGGTTCAAGACACTTATGATTTTCAAGTTGATCTTTGCCTTCTCTTCCTTTTCTTCTTCTTTTGCATCAAGTAATTTTGAAGTATGCCTAAGCCTTTATTCATGAGTGCGCACGATCAAGATAATTGTTGTATCTTTAGAATGATCGTCTATAAGATTTTTTGCACCAAAGTTTTGAAACCAAGATGATTAATTTTTTTGAAAGTTAAAGGTTGTATTAATCAACAATTGCTGGAAATCATCCAGTACCAACTGTTTGACAAAAGCCGGGGGGAGTTTCAAAGAGATTCAAATAAGTTGGATGTTCTAGCAAAACTTGCTAAACTATGCGCAACCTTATTTAAACTATGGTTAATTAAACAGAATTAATTGGTTAAGAGCGAGTAATCCAATTGATGTTACAAATATAGTATAATTATTTATTTTTGATATGAAATATAGTTATAAAAAAACATTAAGTTAATGATACTGAACAATTCACTTAAGGAACCTCTTAATATATATAGTCTTCAAGAAAAGGACACCTAAGAAATAGTAAGTTGCGATTAAAAATGTAGATCCAATCAATTGAATCAAAATCAATTGAGGGGATGTACAAATTATAGAATTCACTATGTTGGTCAAGACCGTAAATTTATTTTTCATAGTACAAAAAATAGTAGAAGCATAAAAATTACAAGTATAAAAGTTAAACAAGTATTTACACCAATACAAGAATCACAAGGATATTGAATATTGAATATGCACTAATATTACGATAATGAAATGAATTAAGAAATCTTACATATATAAAGCGAGAATCCGCTTGTGAACAGTGTGAAATGGACCGGTTATATCGTTATTTTTGTGACTTTGAGGGGCATTTTGGTCTTTTGGTGATGGATGGCAGCGGTTTTGTTGGAAATTCGCTTCTGTCCGCGTGGCCCTCTTCTATACTTCACTTCAGACGCGTGGGCCTCTTGTATCATGGTATAATTGTAGTTGCTTTGGCTCCACTGCTGAGTGGGCGGTGGCTGCTGTCCGCGTGGCTTCCTTTACCAGACAAAACTCACTCTCGTCTCAGACATTTCAGACATTCATTCCCTAGAATCATTAATCAACATCTCTTCCTATACAAAATCCCCCTTCACAATCTTCACAATCATCCACCTAAATAAACAGAAGAAATCGAGGAAAAAAGAAAAGAAAAGCAAATCCAAAGTCAGAACTAAACAGGAAATTCCAGGAATAGGGAGGAGTTATTGTTTGCCGACCAGACTTCGCCACCACTATTGTCGTGGCTGAATTTCTTCATCAGAAAAGCACGGTGAAGTTTCTTTGGTTTTTTTTTTTTTTGGTTTTTTTCAGCCCACCACCGCTATCACCATCGCCATCGCTATCGCCGTATTGTCATTATCTGAAATTCAAATTTTGTGCTCCAATTTTAAATGCTTTTCATGACCTTACTTTCTTGTTTGTGCTCCAATAATGGTAGCTTATTTGTTGGGTTCTCTTAATTTTTGTGTTGCTGAAACATTGGTTGTGAGTTCGGACAGGTTAGAAATAAATTTAAAAGAAAAAGTTCGGTTTTCTCTAATGCCCAAAACGTATTTGTAAAAATGACAAAGCAAACGAATTTCCGAAACGTATTTCCTAATTGCTCAAGTTGGGAAGGTTTTCTGGATATGCATTTCAAATTTATGGATTATTCTTAGTTGCAAATTTTATTTCAGCATAATTCGTAGAATTTTTTGCATCTCTTTGGTTTCTGCAAAAAAGAAGCATGAAAGTTGTACTTCGGTTGAAATACTTCAGAACTCATACAAAGTCTTTTCCTGTGGAGGATTAATGTTTTGGCAATAATCGCAGACTGAAGCTTGATGCAGACAAGGCCCAGCTTGGCGACGCGTTGATGCAGACAAGGCTTGGTCTCTTGCCATGCGGGCTCCAGTTCTGCTTGGTCTTTGGGAAGTTAATAATTTCTGCTGGTTAGTGGGCGGTGGGCGGTCAGTAGTTTTCTTTCTTCTCTTTTAACTATCTTCTTCTTCTTAGTTTTCTTTGGCGCCTTCAGAAATGACTTGAAAAATTTTGTTTTGCTTTTGAAGTGATTCACTGTTTAGTTGGCTTTGCTGGAACCTTTCTTCTTTCTTCTCTTTTAGCTTTCTTCTTCTTTTTAGTTTTCGTTGGAAGCTTTAGAAATGACTTGAAAAGTTTTCTTGGAAATTCGCATACTTTGAGAATGGGTCGGAATAGAGTATATGGAAGTTTGGAAGAGGCTCGTGCTGAGAAAAATCGAAGGAAACGCGAGCGCCGTGCTACTGCTCAACGTGCGACAAAGAATGATGCGCCATTAGGAGTGTGTACACTAGCTGTCACGGCTTTTAATATACGTGAACCAAATACTATGAAGCAGCCAAATATGGCTATCGCTCAATCTTTGTTAAGCTCAGGCTCATCACTGCCATCTACAGAGAATAATGCAGAGCAATTTCCAGCTGTATGTTTGTGCTTGTTTTAAGCATGTCTTGTGGAATATAAATTGTTGTTTAAATGCTTTGCAATAAATGTTAAATTATTTATGTTAACGGTGGTTTCCTCTAAGCATGTACTTTGCTAAAACTAACCAGTTGATAAGATGTTAGCTGTTATCTATTACAACTCAAATTCACTTATTTAATCATACCAAATTCATAATCTTTAACTATGCTTTTGTTATTTTGCAGGAAAATGAACAAAATGTATCTGCATCTATTGCTAATGGTGCTAACGAGGTTTCAACAACTAATGTAAGTATTGGTCAATCATCATTGCGTAGGAAACGTCGGTCTACTACAAACCAGATACTACAAAACCACACAGGCAACACCTGGCTAACACCAATGCAAACCACCGCCAAAGCTTCACCTTTGTCTACTTCCTTTTCTTAGCAACTAAACAATTCTTTCCTACCTACCTGACGCTTTGCGTCAGGGCAAAATATCTAGTGTATATGTAAAAGGAGGTAGTAGCTCTCTTTGATATGAAAAAAATGTACTTTTAGTCCTCAAAATCCAACAATATGCACTAAATTGTTTCTCAATATTTCCGCACAAACAAATGTAGTCCTCACTATGTTGAATTTTGATGAAATTTATCTTTAGTATTTTATAAAATCTAATAAAATTTTTTTGACATGAAGGAAAAAATTCATGAAATTGGGTAAAGAATATAGAAAAATTATACAACAATCATCAAAAAATTATACAAACTCTAAAAAATGTAGAATAAGTGTAAGATAATCACTTTTGACCAAATGAAATTGATTGATAGACATGCCAAATTTATAGTTCGCATATAAAAGTGCTCAATAATGCATGTACAAATTATAATTCTTAATCATTTTTATTTTAAAAAATACAAAATAAATTATAAAATCATGTCTTTTCTAAAGCTGTTTAACTATTATCTGGTTTTGGCTAAAGTTAATTTGGACCAAACATTTTTTTTTTTAATTTTCCTTTGGTGAAGTTTTATGTAAGCAAGTTGATCGATTTGGATTTTAGTTATAATCATTGGAATGTGAATATTAGTAATCCTTTAGATTGTGTGAGAGTTCACTTATGACTGAGATTATTGCACACTTGTCAAAGAAATTGTGCATGAAGTCTTTATCAAATTGATTGGTTGGCTGATCTTAGGTCCTTTAATATCAGTTGTTATCATATTTTGGTACAAATTGACTAAGCCGGGGTTGCTTGGGTTACCTGTGCAAAAGCCTGGCCATGAAATCATGTTTCTGATGTTCTTCAATTGGGCCATAGCTTGAGTTGTTTGATGTTGATGCAAAAACCTGGCCATGAAATCATGGTTTCTGACGTTCCTCAATTGGCCCATAGCTTGAGTTGCTTGATGTTGATTTCCTAGAAAAAGTGATATATAGGGTCCATCTCTTGTAACTCCATTTGTATTTTCTTTCCGGCCACATTGATTCAACGGTCTTTACAAATACTTGAATTTTGGTTCAATTCTACCATGTATATCGGAAAATTAGATGGGTTGGGTGGGTTTTGGGTGTGTTGATATAGGAGACGAGATCCTCTATCCAATAAGGCTCCGTTTGATAACATTGAATCTAAATTCTGAATTCTGAATACTGAAATAATTAATTTGCTGAATTTTAAACACTGAAAAGAGATATATGAATGTCTGAGATATATGAATGTCTGAATCTTAATGCTGAATCTATTTATACTGTTTGATAAATATTCATAACTTAATGCTTAATAAGCTAAATTGTACAATTTTGCCCTTCTATCTTTTAATCCAAAAAGAAAATAGAACCTATTATTTAATTAACTTAAAATTGTTAGGTATGAAAATGACAATGATTGTGAAGAGCAATGCATACAATGACAATGTTTCTTTGTATGGGAAAAGGGTATGGTTTCATCATTTTGAAAATTGGAAAACGAGCTTTTAATACTCTAAAAGCATGTTCAACTACATTTCTCAATCTTGCATGTGCTTGGTTAAAGCGTTCTTCTTTTGATCTTGGACGAAAAGCATTTCGAAAATCAGACAACCAATATCTAATATTTCGATATGGTATCATAAAGCCACGTGTGTGTGGATAAGCTGCATCACATAAATAATATTTATCTGCACAAAAAAATATATATATCAAAATATAAATGTTTGTAGATGAAAATTACTGCAAAAAAATGCTATTGTTAAAAAAAAAAATTTGAATAGAGAATATCAGGTTGTTTTGTTTAATTAGATAAGGATTTTGAATAGGGAATATTAGGTTGTTTAATTAGATAAGAATTTTGAATGTAATTAACAAACAGAGATATATTTGGTAGATAAGATAAAGTAGTTGAAGTAAATCTCTTGATTCTTATCAAATTAAGCATTCAGCTACGATTCTTGTGCTGAAAAAAATACATATAAATTCAGCACCACTTAATAAGTTCAGCAGGTGAATTTTTATTTATCAAACACCCACAACATCTGAATGTCTGAATGAATTCAGTTTCAGCACTTTTTTATGTTATCAAACAGGCACTAAGTAATACCCAACCCATCCAACTTTAGATTGGGTTAATTTTGGGTTGGGTCATATTGGGTCATCTCAAATCCATTACCCAAATATGATCCAATATATTAATTTAAAGATTTTGATACATAAATTCTCTCAAATACATTTTTTACATACAAAATTTTTTTTTCACACACTAAAACACTTTCACAGATATAAACACACACTCACTTCTTAAACTCTTTAGAAATTCATTATTTTTACACACTAATATACTTTCACAAATACATACATGTACTAACTGTTTAAACTATTTGGATGAACTCATTATTTTTTATACAAGTAAGGATTTTCAAACGGGACAGTGGATATAGCTTTGGTCCTAACTAAGAGACCGAAGCAACAATTTTGGTCCAAATTGGATATAGCAAGAAAAAATGATATACCAATATACGATTTTTCAAGTCTTGTTACTTGATTTAGGATTAGCTGTACCAAACATATTTCTAGTCTCATAAAAGATCCAACCACGTCTTAATTAAACTGAAATTTTGATGAGAGAGATGCAATTCTCAACCAATTAGTTCAAATATCACTATCCATAGTAGAGCCAAAGACCATACCAGGTTTTGCTTTATCCTCAAATATATTCAAGTACCCATATTTTTTTTCGCACTGCAGTCATGGAATAAGAATACAATGTTGGAGACCTTCAGGGATAATGCCATTCTGCTTCATGTGTATGCATACAGACCATCCTTCAATGCACAAAATGCGAGATTGCAGCTAATAAGGCTACAATACAGCTTACGCTGACACAAAAAGGATCATCACCAGCAGTTTCTCTTATCCAAGATGTATCAACCCAAGAGATCTTGATTTTTCACTAGCAATCCCATCCCTATCCTTCCATACATCCTCTGTGTAATAATACCCAAACAACATAAATTCTAACCAACCAATGACCATTCACCTTTGTACAACAAGATATATAAGATAAGTTAAAGATAGAGTATCACCTATGTGAAATTCAAAGGGGAAAAAGTCCCAATGGCCCTTAAACTTTTATTCGGGCAAACTTTTAGCCGTCCAACAATTAGAAGTAACATTTTGGTCCCCGATCTATTAAAAGTGCAAAATATTGGTCCTTTCGTCAATTCCAGCAGTTGAGAATGACAGAAAGCAACATCACATGCGATGCACGAGGAATTAGCAGGGGCATTCTTGTCTACCCACGAGATTCTGCCATTAATTCCAACAAGAAGAACAAGAAGAAGAAGCAGAATCATTACCACCATCATCGAACTAAGAAGATGATATTCTTCCACAGAAGATGTGCACCATTTGCCTAGACCACATAGATTTGAAGCTCAAGGTGAGGCAGCTTTCCAGGTTCACTAATGCCTTTCACAAAGATTGCCTAGATAAGAGGTCGATTCCAGTCAAGTTACTTGCCCACTCAATAAATCTTTGTTGTTGTCGTCACCAATCTCAACAAATGTGTTCTTGCTGCTGCCACCGGAGATCCATCTCTAGCCCCGCTCTAGCACAATGCTTCCTTAATTACCAGTTGACTTTTCTTTATTTCCTTTTTATTTTTTTGGAAAATTTTAAACCTCTATTTCTTAGACATCATCCACACATGGAAAGATGAGGTAGTTTTAGATCTGTAACTAATTGTTACTTTAGATCTATAATTGTTACTGATACGATTTAGTACTAACACCCCCCATTTTCTCCCTGTTCAAATATCTTCATTTTTTTTTGGTTTCTCATCTTCATTATAATTTTTACGGAAAAAAGTCCCAGTGCCAACTATCGGTGAACCCATTACTGAGAAATCATTCAAGGGGATTATTGAAGAAAAAAAGAGGAACCAAAAACCTTGATCTGGTTTCTCACTTGATAGTTGTCGTATGTCTAATGGAACTGACAATGATATGGTGAAAGCAAGACCTTGGTTCTTCATAAAATTGAAGTCTATTTCACTGCTGCTAGTACTCATGATTGCTTTGTATATCAATCTGGGGTATTGATTCTCCTTTCATGGAGTCATCATCTGTCAATCTCTAACATCTTGAAATCCTTAAAGTTTCTTGAACCCTCACAACTTGCTGTTTTGGCAAAAGCCAACTTAAATGGGTTTGGTGAGATATTAAAGCAGCTTTCATTTGACTCAATTTCTCATCTATCCCTGCTGATTAATAATATTGGCGGAGGAGATAATATTCATGTATCTGACTCATCTGCAAAGCGATGTGTTGGTTTCCAGCATTCTGGGTGGACTACAATGCCCTTCATATGTTCTCATGCGTCACACGTAATAATGGTTTTCATCACTCAACTATTGAACTTGACAGAAGGACCAATAATTAGTTCTTTTGATAGATCGGATGCCAAAAATTTACTATTAATTGTTGGAGGGTCAAAAGTTTACTTGGTTAAAAGTTATAGGGCTATTGGGACTTTTTTCCCAAATTCAAATATGTCATCCTTAGTGTAAATTTAATTAATTTATTTATTTTTTAAATATAAGTAGGGTAATGGGTGCCCAACACAAATATCTAAACCGCCCAAAATATATCTGGATTTTTATTATCCAATCCAAAATTGACCCAACGCCCAAATTACCCAACCCAACCTCTCAAATTAGTCGGTAGGTTGGATGAGTTGTTGGGTTTTGGGTATAATTGTCAGGCGTACTACCATCCCATAAGTTCACTATTTTAGTCTTGACATTCATCAGATTGTGTTCTTTTAGGGGAGGGTTGGGTTTGGTGGTAAGGTAGAGATGATGTGTAGGAGATTCTGGATCTAAAATTTCCTACTTATAGAATAAAAAAAATTAAAAAATTAAAAAGAAGATTGTGTTCTTTTAACAAAATTAACATATTAACACGCTAGTTAAACAGATTTTATGCTATTCAAGATTGTACATAAAAAGGACATTTCTAAGCTATAAATCTATTTAAAGTTTTTTTTTTTGAAAGAAAAACCTCCATTCATTGCAAATCTACAAGAGCAGCCTCAATAACAGACTTGGGGAAGTTTACAAACCAAACTCTACTTCCCTCAAAAGATAACGATAACTTTGGCATGATGTGGGTAGGGACATTATTGGTCCTCCTCACATGACTAACCTTGACAAAATCAAAAGTATGCAGCATAGCTCTGATGCCATGGATTAAGTTACCTATCAATGACAAATCAGGTTCATTGCTGTTAATCCTTTGAACAATATTTAAAGCATCCCTTTCGAGCAAGAAATGCGAGATTCCAAAGTCTCTTGCAAACTCCAAAGCAGTGAGAAAAGCCAAGCATTCCACATGTTCTGCATTGTGAGCTCCTTCGACCCGTGTAGCCATTATAGCCTCCACTTGACCCAAGTGATTCCTCACCACCACACCAACGCCAGTTGCTTCTTTAGAGAAAGCTCCATCCATGTTAATATTTAGATAACTCTCATCTGGTGCTACCCATTTGGTATGCTCCTTATATCGACGTGTTTCTTGCCTCTTATGGATATTCCAATACTCTTGCAAGAATGCCTTAGCATACTCACCCACCTGTGTTGCATCCCCATCCTTGCCTGCGAATAATGACTAGTTCCTGCTTTTCCAGATCATCCACATGGTTACCACAATGAGTTCTGCTATCTCTTTACCTTGAAACTTCAAAAAACAATCAAACCAGTCCTTAAAGTTTGATGCAGCAGGCATGCAAATTGCTTTCAGCATCCCTATACTTGACCAAACTTCTTGAGCTAAAATACAATCAAAAAAATATATGCTTATCAGTCTCTTGATCACAGCCACACCAGTTGCATCTCATAACATCTCACTTAAGCCTATCTGATAAATTCTGCCCTGTAGGCAAAATACCAGAGCATGCGCACCAAACAAAGATTCTGACCTTTGGAGGAATGTTCAAGTTCTAAATTCTAAGCCAGAAAGACTTCTCCTTACTGTCGGATGATGCCCTCTCCCCACCTTCGTCCAACCTCTGCAAGGTTCTTGCCAAATGGTATGCTGACCGGACGTCAAAACTCCCATTTTAATTATAGAACCATACTATCTCATCCCTAGCCCACCATGGAGAGCGAGGAACTTTCTAAATAATTTGTACCTCATAACTCAAAAATAGAGTGTGAAGCAAGTCCAGCCTCCAGTCACTAGAATGGGCGTCAATTAAATCACATACTCTAGCATCTAGCCACAAAGTCCTCGAGCATTGTGACACTCGGAAGGATGGAGGACAGGGTAGCCAAGGATCATCCCAGACCTGTATGTTTGAACCATCACCCACTCGCCACACGATGCCTCTTTACAGTAAGCTTCTTCCTGCCAATAAACTCCTCCATAGATTGCTCCCTAATTTGGCGTTCAAGAAATTTGTCTTAGCAAAATACTTGGCCTTTAAAACTCTGGCTGCCAAAGAAGCAGGATTTTTAATTATCCTCCACCCTTGTTTTGCTAATAAAACAAGATTAAAGGCCTCCATGTCTCTAAAACCCAATCCTCCTTCAGATTTCATTTTACATAAATGATCCCATTTCAGCCAACACAACTTCTTTTCGTTCCCTTTCTAACCCTACCAAAAGTTTCAAATTAAAGATTTAATGTCAGCGCATAGTGTTTTTTGGAGCTTGAACAAACTTTTGTTTAAAGTTTGTTCTAAAAAAAATTTATTTTGAATGTAGCAATTGTGCAATAAAAATCACCGTATATCTTGCAGCCTTATCATTTCGGGATAGGTCCTTTTTTTACAATGAACCTTGTAATGAAGATTGATTTTGGAAGAAAATGAAATTTGATGTAGGTGCTGCAAATTTTGGTTATGGAAGAGAAGATGATTTAAAGTTCTAATTTTTCCTATTTAGACAATTGCAACTGACAATCTTAAAATATAAGCTTTATTGATGGGAACAGAATGGAAGTGGTCCATCATGAACCTGGTCATGACATACCCACCAATGTGTTCCGTTACCACTTACCTTTATCCCTAGCTCTTGAGAAATATTTTGGTTAGAAATATTTTGGGTCAGAGTGTCACCTAAAGATTCCTTTAATGTATTTGAAATTGTTCTCCTCCATCCTCAAGACATCTTGTCCCACATTAATTGTGTAAAAAAGGACGTACACCTAACTTATAATCAAGAAGAATTAGGATTGGATGACAATACACCGGTGGTTAGACCATGTAAGTTTGTGCTTGTGATTTGTTTTTTCCTTTTCTTTTGAGCAACCGTACTTGTGATATGTATAGTATTGTTCTCTCAATTTTGTTACTAAAGTTTCTTCCTCTTTGAGTTGACCTGATTTATTTGCCTATCAATATAATAAGATTAGATACAAAACAGTTTTAAGAGTGGGGTTCAAACCATACCACTCTCCTATCCTAAATTCACACCCTAATTGTGTATCTGATATAAGGTTGGGTTAGACTAGTCTGAACTTGACCTGTTTAGCCTGAAAGAAAAGGGGCCAAGCCTACTATGATTCTACGTTAAGCGGAGCTTGGGTCTAGATATGAGACCCGATTAAAATGTGAGTCGAGTTTGGACTTCTATAGTCTCAACTCGATTAAAACTCGTCCTGTTATTTTATATATTATTTATATTTTGATATGTATGTATGCGTGGATGTGTGTGTGTATATATATATGTATGTATGTATATATGTATGGGTGTGTGTGTGTTTATATGTATATATATGTGTGTGTGTGTGTGTGTGTAATGTATGCATGCACCCTAATGCATATAAAACTATAAATAAATTTTGATCATATTTTATATGTATTTAAAAGAATTAGACACAAATATTATTGAAAAACTTTTGGTTTATGTACTTTTAATGAACTTTTTATTGATTTATGTGTAGTCTTAATATTGTAAATCGCAAATTAACTATACTACCTGGTGGTTATAGTAATTATATTAAGAAAATTAAGAAGCATTAAGTGAATTTGAACTAAATTCGAATTAGGCTTAAAACTTAAATGTATTGTGAGTTAAGTATGAGCTTAATAGATATTAGCCCAAAACTCATGGCTCGAATCCCGAATGCCTTACTAAGTGGGTTGAGTCTGAATTTGTTAAAACTTTGACTCAAAGGCTCGATCGACAGCCTAAAGCCCTAAGAATTTTGCGGGGACTCATAGTAAGATTTTGCAATTCCAAAATCATCAAATAGTATGTATATAAAGAAATCAAATGAATTTCAACCAACACATTTTCAAGATGACTTAGAATTCAAATTTATTGCCATATATAGCAACTTGCATAAAGGAAGGGGCTTGTAAATCTTCAATGAATACGTCCTCCATTTGGACAAGAATTAACGATCTCACTCAATGAATTACATTTGGCATTGAATCTTGGTCACAATCACCAATTGGAACATGTAGTTGAACTTCCTATAAGTTTTCAAATTGGACCATGGTGCAATGCCATATTTCAGTTTGAGTACCCTACATCACTCACATCATTTTGATATTATTTTTTGTTTCAATTCCTTCACTCAAAGTCGAGATACCCTTTTGAGATTTCTTGCTTAGGGTATCATCCCTCTCAAAATTGATTTCATCATCATAGCCATCCTTTGTTTCAATTATACTAATATTTTTCATTATCAGTTTGCCTTCATCTAATCCCAATGAATAAATATCCCTTGTTCAATTCGTGATTATTCTTTCATCTAATTTCTCTTAGCAATTTTTTTGAAGCAAGTAATTAATTTTTATTACACACGAAAAGATAACCATAGACTTGTAAACCTATATAAGTAAGATCATCAAAATAGTAAGGGCTTTAAAGTCATATTAGTGTGTAGATTGTGGTTTTAGACTACGAAGGTGTAGATTCAACCTTTCCTCACGTTTAATTCTCAAGCTGTCAGTTATTTTTTTCCCTCTTCTTCTTGTGCTAATAAGAAATACCAAAGTATGCCCAAAACCTTTGCTCATGAATGCTACAAAGTGTCACTAAAGTACCCAAATCTTTAGTAAAGTACACCCAAACCTTTACTCATGAATGCATGAAAGTGAGATGCTTTTCCGGCAATGATAACATTTATATAACCTAATGTATTTTATTCTACAGAGAGAGGAGCCTAAAGAGGTTGTGAAAGGAGCTAGCATGACTTACAGACCACAGAGGGACTTAGTCCTTTTTTGGTGGCCACTGAGGCAAAGCTCAGTGGTTACCTGTTGCATCTTACACAGTGATTGGCTAGAGTGTTTGCAGCGCTGAGCTTTTGAAAGCAAGAATGTTTATTGAACAAAAAAAATTTGAAATGGTAAGAGTCATTGGTCAAACGATCGAACTAATAGTAAGTGATAATTTTAGAAATCTCCCTTGAGGTTTCCAACAATTACAAAGAGCTCCCCTCAAGTTTCAACAATTACACCTACCACTCTTGCTTTTAAGGTTTATGTAACAATATAGACGCAATGAGCTATAATTTTATTCTACAGAGAGAGGAGCCTAAAGAGGCTGTAAAAGGGGTTAGCAGGTATACAGACTTGACTAGATCAAAGGGGTGTTCTGGCACCTCCGTTGGATTTTTTCAATGCAAGTGGGGTTCGAATCCCTGACTTACAGACCACAGAGGAACTTAGTCCTTTTTTGGTGGCCACTGAGGCAAAGCTCAGTGGTTACCTGTTGCATCTTACACATTGATTGGCTAGAGTGTTTGCAGCGTTAAGCTTTTGAAAGCAAGAAGGTTTATTGAACAAAAAAATTTGAAATGGTAAGAGTCATTGGTCAAACGATCGAACTAATAGTGAGGGATAATTTCAAAAACCTCCCTTGAGGTTTCCAGCAATTACAGAGAGCTCCCCTCAAGTTTCAATAATTACACCTACCACTCTTGCTTTTAAGGTTTATGTAACAATATAAACCCAATGAGCTATAATTTTTCACAAATATCTTAAAATACCCTTCTTCAAAGAACAAGACAAAACAAAACAAGGTTTTAATCTTTAATTTCTTGTACGTGCCATACTCACTAAAACAAACAAAGTACAGTGACTCCAACTCATCTCAAAATTTATTATTTGGTAATTTTTGCCTAATGCAACTCACCACCACCTCTACCAATATTAAACTAAGAATGCCCCCATGTTCCTAAGAACATAATTCATCATTGCTCTAGCACTCTTAGAAATAGAGACAAAATTCTACCTTTATTGTAAAACCACAATCAATAGGTAAATAAAAGAGAGAATCAATGAGTAATTGCTAGATTTTTTTGCTTAAGAAACATAATAGTTACTTCTTTATGTTTCAAGTCTCAATTTCATTTTTTTCCTAACTGCCACATTTTTCATTTCCCTTAGTTTGACAATAAAATCCACGGTCTGCACCTTGTTTATTTGGTAACTCTAATTGGCTAACATTTATAAAGAGTAAAACTATTGAAAAACAAAGAAAGTGTCTAAAATTTTTATAGAATGAAAGAGACAGGAAAACAAAAAATACTGATAAATTTTAGAGATAGTAAAAAATTGATAGTGGTGTTATTGGTAATAATGGAGCCCGATATTTGATAAGAGGGAGAAGTGGTTGTAAGAGAAAAAAAAGAGAAAAATATGAAAGAGGGAGGGAGGGAGGGAGGAAGAGATAAAAATTAGAAAATTGATGACGATTTTTTTTTTTGAGATTAGTAAATGATAAGTAAAATAATAAGAAGTTTTTTCGGCTTTAAATGTCCCTTTATGAATTAATTATTAAGTGGAG